CATATACCACCACTCCTAGATGGAGGAAACTGTATTTTTTTTGTTTCTTTCTCTGAGACAGAGAAAGGTTTCTCTATGCAGTCCTGGCCCTCCTGGACTCACTTTGTACACCAGGCTGGTCTGAAACTCAGAGATGTGCCTGCCTCTGGCTCCCAAGAGCTGGGATTACAGGGGTGTGCCACCATGCCCTGTTAAGGCTTGTATTCTTACATACTGTTCCTTATTTTCCACTTTCCACCCTTACCTCAAATCAAGCAGAGAGATGCAAGAAATGATGTGACTGAATTCTAAACAAAGGCAGAGCCCAACTGAGGCAGGGCATGAGCTCAGGACTCACATTCCATCCCATTTGACCCTGTTACAGAACAAATCACAGTGCAAAAGGGAAATTTACCCAGCTCTCTTCAGGCTGGATTATTTGTCAGGATAGAGAACTCACAGCCACTCATATCACAGCTCAAGACAAAAGCGGGGGGTGGCAGGCATAGCTGAGAATGAACCAGCCACAACGATACCTATGTATGAAAAGGTCACAATAAAGCCATTATTCTGTAAACTACTGAATTTTAGAGATGATATAAAAAGAATGAAACTTCCTCAAAGATTACAAAATGCTAAAAAAGTAGAGGACTGAACTACGAACCGTGTGTGGCAAAGGGAAAAGCAGATATGAACCCCATCTTACTGATCAGCTCCTGGGAACCCCCAAACCAGGAGACCACTAAAGAGCCTCAAGCATGAGCTTTACTGTAATTCCCTTGCGCCTCTAACGTTCTCTGTAATTGGGTACAGAAAAGTAATCCTCAGTGCTCTGGGAGCGCATCTTGCTAGAACAAAGAGCATGAGGAACAAAAAAAAGAAGGACAGTAGATTCTAAGTCAGTGGCCCGAAGACCCTCCAACGTGGCAACAGCAAATAAACCAACGAGAGGGCCAAAAAAAGCAGGAGAGCAGGAGGCAAATGGGCAGTCCCATTTGCCATCTCCAGCAGCTCTGCCGGTGTGGAAGGCCCGGTAAACTGGAGGATGCTCACTCAGCTTTTTAAAACAGTCGGTAAAAGTGAAGTCAGAGGCGGCAGGCAGTTCTTTGCACAAGGGGTCCAAAGCAGCACAACAGACGTGCCAGCCACGAGACTGGAGTAATGACCGCACCGTTTCAGGAAAAAAAATCACCCGAAGGGAGTCAGCAACCAGGCAGGAACTCGCTGCGGTTCCCTCGGCCTGGGGCTGGCGAAGCGCTCCGGGGACTTGGGAGGGCGACGCCCCCAGCCCCAAGCGTCTCGGTGGAGACACGGAGCGCACGACCGGGTGCCACCGGGTGCCACCCGTGGGGAGATCGCGCCGAACAAATCCTAATCATCATCGGTCAGTCCGCAGCCGCCACGGAGTCCCGAACCCGGAGCGCACGCCAGTGTTTGTAAACAAACCGGTCACGTGGCCGCGGCAGCCCGCTCCCCGCCCCCGGCGCCCCGGGAACCCTCGGGGAGCCCCCCGCGGGACCTCGCCAAGCATCGCCCCAGCCGAGCCGGGCTGCGCGCTGCGCCGGAGCCCGACCGTCCCCGGGGCGCGCAGCCCTACGCGGAGCGCACGGCGCCCCACGCCCACGCGAGCCCAGCTCACGATCCCCCCCCTTACCTGGAGGCAGTCTGCCGGGTCCGGCCGGCGCCGGGCTCGGCTGCTCGGGAGCGCTCGGCGAGGAAGGACGGCGCGGCTGACTCCGGCGCTCCCTGCGTGCTCTTAAAGCCACAGCCTCCGCCACCACCGCCGCCGCCGCTGCTGCCGCCGCTCCGCATCCCCTCCGAGTCCGGGCCGGGGGCTTGCCGGGTGACGGACGCGCCCCCGCGCCTATCCCATCGCCTCGGCACATAGCAACACGCCGCTGGTTGGCCCGGCACGGCCGCAGCCCATCCACGGGGAGCCAATCAGCGGAGGACGGAACTCCGCCCCTGCCTCCCCGGCCGCCCGCCCCCAGCACCCCCGCCCGCCCCTCTGCCCTGGCTGGGCGCGCGTGCGGGGAGTGTGGCGAGCTCTGCGTCCCGCCGGTGCCCGGCAGCTGGCGGGCGGGGCCGGGAGGGGCGGTGATGAGGGTGGGTGACCTCTCCCGAGATAGGAGCCTGTTTGTTTGGGTTTGCTGGGATTCCCAGGACCCCGGGCTATGTTGGGAAGTGGGATCTGGAGAGCAATCCCCTCCCTTCGCGCTTAAGCCGCTCCTGACCCGGAGCCTAAGTTACTAGAAGTGGTTCTCAGAGTTCGAGGAAGGTGGATTTAATCATAGAGCACCAGCCTCACCAGGCCCACCCCGGCCCAGGCTCAGAAGGCGAGAAACAGTTCTGTCTGTCTGCCCTGCTAGTAATTTCCAACCGGTTAAGACTTAAGAAAGGGCCGCGCGGTGTGCGCGAACCCCTGAAGGCAGTCCCCAGCCCTGGGAGTGGGAGAACATGCCTAAGGACTTCACAGGGATTGGGGTCCCTGTTGCCGATGGGTTTCCAAGGTCTGCACAGGTGAATGGGGTCGGTTAGCACCAGAAGATAGAATAAGAATAGTCAGAGTGACCAGAGAGGCGGAGCTGGCCTTCTGGGTCAGTGGGGTGGTGCTCTTCAAGGAAGAGAAGGTTAAAAAATAAACTCATGACAGTCGGGAAGTCCAGGAAGGCACCAGGTGGGTGGAGTTGGGCAGAGTCTTCCAGCAGGAAAACAGGTCAATTTGATAAAGAATTCCTGCCACAGGGAAAAACAAACAAACAAACAAACAAACAAACAGCGGGTCCACCCTTTTCACTAAGCCCCTCCGGCTTAGTGCGTGGCATTGGGGCAACAACAAGAAAACGTTTTCATTGACATTTTAGAAAAGAAAGCACGTGGTTGTTGGGCAGGGCAGGTCATGTCTTACAGCCTGAGTGCTTGAAGTGGAGACAGTGAGAAGGATCAGAAGTTCAAGGTCACCCTTGGCTGCACAGCCAATTCCAAGCCTAGGTTACATGAAAAAGAAGAAAAGAAAAAAAAAAAATGCATGTGTTTGGCTGAGGGAGGCCGGGTGACTTCCGCCACCTACCTGGTATTACACATGTAAAGCCGGTACGCTTTTGGGTAGATCCCCAGGTGACCCAAAACCTCACCCGGAACTCCACCCGGCTCCTTTTAATAAGCACGCAGTCACCCAAGTTGTCTCCAGCTGATGTATACCACACGGCTAGGGATGAAATTCAGTCCCAGGGTTAGTCAGAGCACAACAGCTTCCTATTTGTCTGTGGGTGCCCGATTCAGTGTAAGGCCACCGTGAAAGAGTCTAACTCGTGGGGCAGAAAGCCTTCAGCTAATTAATCACAAACTTGACAAGGTTTAAGGTTGAATCTTCAAGATGGTCTATTCAATTCTTTAGATGATCAAAAGCGTGATTACCAGCCCAGGGCTGCTTGCTGGGGTAAATTCCTTCCTGTCCTTAGGCTTTGGTTCCCACAGCCTAACATAAGGGAGGGCTGGGGTCTGTGGATGCAGCTCACGGTGGAGATCTGACCTAGTGTGCTTGAGGCTCTGGGTTCAATTCCCATCACTGCAAAAATAAATGAGGGCTGAAATGAGATGGTTTCTGAAGTCCCCTCCAGCTCTCTGCTCTCAAATAAGGAACCAGAAAATCGAACTTGCTACATTTCTGCAATATTGTGTCACTGAATATGTTTGTGTCCACAGGTTCCCCACCCCTTAACAGTAGATTCTGTACTGGTTTAACACCCTAGGATGCCGGTGTGTTATGTAAGAAGATTGAAGGCTACTGTTTTCGGTTTAAATAAAAGATAACATTAGCTAAAGACCACCTGCCTGGTGTGGGGTGCTCTGAGGACCCCTGCAGGCTGGCTGCGTGATTGCAGGAGATCGGAAGAGGCAACAGAATCAGAGAGGCTGGAAAACAAAAGAATCAGCCAGCCAGCAAAAAAAAAAAAAAAAAAAGCCGGCTCGTGCCTCCTCCCAGCCAAAGCAGCCAAATGTTGCGAGAGTGGACCAGGAAAAAGGGAGAACCGAAACAAAGTGGGGTAGCCTAAGTGCCAGGAACTAACTTCTCTTTCTCTCCACACCCGGACACCTTCACTGACCCTCAGTGCGCAGCGCCCATCCTGAGCACCGTTTCCTGTTTAACGTGGACTTATTCTGAGAAGCTATGGAGGGGAAAGAAACCGAGGCCAATGGACAGTTTGAGAACTAGACATAGTTATCCTGAGGGCAACAACAGAGATGAAGAAATATGTAGAAAGACAGCAACAAATGTGTTCGGAGTCAGAGGACTATGTTAAAACAGAACAAAACAACAACAACGAAATGAACAACAGCAAAACCAAAAAGCCTTTGGGAATAAAAGTTTGAGAGATTCCTGGCCTCACGGGCCTATTATCAGCCTGGCTGTCTCACGGAATTGTACTCCTCTTTGTGAGGCCAAGCCAAATTAATTCATTCCCAAAGCTTTCACTGTCCTTCTCCATCAGTTTAGATTACTGTTTTCACTTCTGCTACTACAGCTGTGGACAAAGATTTTTTTTTCTTTTCTTCTTTTTTTTTTTTTTGTTTTTTGTTTGTTTGTTTTGTTTTTCTTTTCTTTTGAGACAGAGTCTCTGTTTTGTAAACCTGACTGTCCTGGAATTCGCTATGTAGACCAGGCTGGCCTTGAGCTCAAGCAGAGATCCACCTGCCTCTGCCTCCCAAACTCTGGGATTAAAGGGGTGTGCCACCATGTCTAACTTCTCTTTGCATTTTTCAAGGTCGATTAAAAAAAATGTTTGTTGTATGTGTGTGTGATTGTGTACTCAGAGGTCAGGGAAGGGCAACTTGTGAGAGTCAGCTCACTGCTTCCACTTTGGTTTTGTTGTTTGTTTTGCAAAAGTAGATAAATTTTGTTTGGTTTTCTTTCTTTGTTTCTTTCTGTTTTCTTTGCTTCTATAATCCAGTTCACGTTATCATCAGAGATACTGAACAAAATAATAAGGAAAATACTATTTAGAGAGGCAGTTCTAACATTTGTGTGGAGGCCAATGATGAGACCCACCAGCTATCCTAAGTCAGAGACCTCCATGTTTATGTAGGATTGCTGCCTTCCACAGTAAAAGGTATCTTCCACATGGTTGACTGCAGCTTCCATTGACTGTATATATATATATATATATATATATATATATATATATAT